GCGCGAAGGCGCACCGCGCCAAAGCCCAGGCCGGGGGACCTGGCGGCGAAGCAGCCAGCCGGGGGGGGGGGGGCCGGGGCAAACGAGCGCCGGGCATGGCCAGGCGCACGGGCGCCCCATCCGGCCGAAATATGCAGGCGAACAGCGTCCAGCGAGCAAGCCCTGATCGGTGGTGGGGTACCGGCACAGAACATTGCGGTCAACGGGCTACGTGGCCGGAGGGCGGACCCCCGCCCCGCCCCGCCCCCGACAATGGACATGTTAAGAGAGGGCGAGAGAGAGAGAGAGAGGAGAGAGAGAGACTGGGGGGGGGGGGAGAGGAAAAAAAGAGCGCGCCGGGACAGACGTGAACTGGCAAGGCCGCAGGCGGGGGGGGGGGCAGGCGGCATGCCCCTCGACGCAAATAAGGCGTGGGGAAGCGCCAGCACCGGGAACGGGCGAAACCGCTCGGGTCCGGCCCTCCCCCTGGGGAGCCCCTTCTCCGAAGCCGGGCCTCCGGGCGAGGAGGGAAGCCGACAATGTCACCCAGTGGCAGCCCGGCCCCTCTGCCCCGGCGCGGCCGGCAGCCGGACCCTGGCGGAGGAGCGAGAGCCGCGGCGCCCAGTGCTTAATCGACGCCGACGCCCACGTCTCTCCGGCTCGGGGGGGGGGGGTCTTCCCTGCCCGGCCCCGGGCGAAAGACGTGCCATATTCACTCGGGACTCCCCGGCCCCCCCCGCCCGAGACGCGACGCCAGGAGCAGCTTGGTGGCGGGGAGGACACAACTAAGCCCACGGGCTGGGTAGCGGAGAAAAACGCCGTAAAGTAACTCCGCGTAGGTCGCCCGGCCGAAAGGGCGCCCGGGCGTTTGGGCGCTGTCTCCGGCGAGCCCGATCGAGAAACCACCGCCAAGGCGCGGAGGGCCGGGGGGCGGTGCGCGCGCTATGACGGATCGTGAGCAAATTTGGCACACCCCTCCCCCCCCGGGGGGGGGGGGGGGGCGGGGGCGCGGAGGCGATACTCGCACCTTGCCGCATGTTCGGTCTGGAAGGCGCGCAGCACACATACCCGCGTGACGGCCCCCCCCCTCCCTCGTCCGGGAGGCCGGCGCGGGGAACATATCTTGGCGGGGCATTTTTTCCCGCCACTGCCCCCCCCCCCCTCGGCCCCGGCCCCGGCCCCGGCCCCGGCCCGGGCCCCCACGGCGGTTGC